TGAGTCACGTGAACACTGCAGGGCAATCAAAAAAGTTCCGAATCCGGGTCGTAACAATTTTCAACTCTCTTCTCCCTTACACTTCATCATTATGATGAGGGCCGTGAACCGCTCAGACATAAATCTAATTAAATACTTCTCTAGACGATTAATTATGATAGCAAGTGCCAGAAGAAAGGAGTTACAAGATGAGGTACAAAACGGGAAAAGAGTTCAATTTGAAGCACAACACCAGGAAGGCAGAATATATGGAAGTGGGGAAATAAAATTCAAGTACCATAAAGGACTAGGACAACCCCATGCAAGTACCTCAGCAGTCACATCTCAGCGGAAGCAGACGTGGGGGGGGGAGTTGCGAGCAGGATGAACACAGCAGGGATGAAATGGAGAGTCCTAGCAGGAGTTTTGAGCGACAAAATGTCAGTGTAACTTAAGCCCCAAGTGTACTGGACCGTTATCCGCCCAGCAGCACTGTCATACAGTAGTGCAGGCCATGTAAACGGAACGAGGAGCGCAAGTTGAGTGTCGTGGAAACAAGGATGCCACAATAAATCTTGAGAGTCACAGTGAAAGATCACATCTGCAAAGACACTATACAAGCCCAGATGAAAGTAGTTTCTATTGCCCAGAAAGTACAGGAAATGCGGCTATAATAGTATTGAGATGTACGTAGAAGGGAGGAAAGTCATACCAGCTTATCCCTGGCGGTGGAGGCACCAGGCACAAGAACCAGCGGCAGGCCCAAGATGATATGGATGGACAGAATCAAGGCCGACGAGAGAAAAGTCGAGATAGACGAAAATGTCCCATATAGGAGAACATGGAGACACCTGACGAAAGCAGACGCGGAACACATGCGAGGATAAAAAAAGGTGATTTACGATATGGGGTCCCACCATGAACACGGAAGGAGGGATCACTTCAACGAATGGAAATGATATTCTTGATCGGTTACCTGAACAAACCATGCAATGTCTTGGCGAAATCCGAGATTCCGACTCCTTAGTCACTCAAAAATGTCCCTTAGAAGCCTTCCGTATAGCAAGTGCAGCTCCGTGAATGCGCCAGATCTCGACTGACAAGCAAACGACTTACCATGGTATTAACTTCGATAGCAACTGACGAAACACAAAAGTGGAGTGGTGCCATCTGATACAATAAACATGCCCTACAAAATGGCTTTCAAGTTTTTGCACCACTTTGTTCTATGTGACGTTTGAAGCCAAAATTTATAATAAAACGCGACAAATGCCCGAAAATCGAAAATAGTCTAATCTCTGGTTAAAAGGCTCTAACGATTGCCCAATCAATCCTCACATCAAACATCATGTATAGTGTTGCTATACTCGAAAAATGAGAAAACGAGAATTTTCAAGCTTTTCTCAAACTGATGGTGGATCGATCCCACAGAAGTAGTTCTGTACTATCAGTCTTGTAAGAAACAGCTTCAATTTTTCAGCCCTCTGCAAGCGCTATGTTTCTGAAAATATCAAAATTAGTTTCTGGCTTTCTTGTTCCTATGTAGGTAGATATTCCTCGACAACTAGCGCTATAGAGGGCTGGAAATTTATATTGCTCACAAAAGCTTGCAGTATAATTTATCAATGTGGGAGTAGTTCAGCATTTGCTTGAAGAAAAGTCCAAAAAAAATTCCTTAGTTTTTAACAAAGGAAAAATTTCAGCAACTGTAACATAAATGCTCGATATGGAGAGTGCTGCGAACGAGTGAGAGATGGTTAACTTCTTTGGACAGAGGTACATAACACTATTTTTGATTTTCCGCCACTTGAAACTTTCAAAATTTTTGTTAACCTGGTGCAAAAACTCAAAGGCAGTGTCTCACCAAAATTTAGTTGCCGAGTTTTTTGCATTTTGCAAGCCTCTCGGACCCTGTATAGCACTGTATGGGCATCGCACGAAGTTCCCAAAAACCCCGTTTTCTGGAGGCCCCGCGGAAGCAACGTGGACGAGTTGTACCTTCCAACTTCAGTCTCAGCCACAGTGGCAGCAACAGAGGGGAGGTGGATGCCAAGTGGAAAACATGTTCAAACGCGTAAGGGAGGAGATCGAGGGAGTCGTCCGCGCGTACCAAGTCGCTCTCCGCGTACCACTTTAAGCAAATTTTTCTCAGCGTGGAGGGGGTCAAATTGAGTGGGACTTGTTGCAGTGGCCTATTTAGAGGTCCCTATAATAGAACATGTGAAAATTCGCGCGACCTCAACTTTGGTGAGACACTGCCTTTAAGCGCCATTATGTGAAGCTCGCTTTCTTCTACGATTCGTTCCTTCACATGATTTTGAAGCTCGTCTTATTGCGGTGGCCTGAAAAACTATATAAATCGACATTCCTTTCTTTCAGCCTAGTAGGGTTTGAATTTTTTACTATCATAACTCGTAGTAATGGGGTAAGGGTGACGTTTTTTTGAGCGTGTCTGTCTGTCTGCTACGAAATTCGTAGAGTGTGTTCAAACCAACGTTTGAGCCCAAGTTCTATATAGCGCATACTAACAGCGTGAAGGCCCACCATGCACATGAGCGGATCATTGAAAATTGCGCCTCAAACGGATCCACTTTGCTTCTTGTCAGCAAAATGAGGTCCGTTGTACTACTTTTTACAGAGTCATGATGTTCGACAAATTAACCTGCAAGCCGAGAGCTGCAACCACACATTGCTCTTTCTGGAAATCATTTACTACCGAAAATGGCCGCGTCACAATGTCGCGGCCATTTTCGGCCTTCTTTCAAAGAAAAATTTTGGAATTTTTTATAATATATGTTTTCCAGATAGCGTAATATGTGGACTGTAGCTCTTGATGAGCTCTATCACCATATGAATCCAATCAATTTTCTTCATTGTTACCCAGCCGAAAATGAGCGATGAAGAATGAAGGCGGCTTGTCCGCAATTTCATGGCAGTCACTGTATATGTTGGTCACTATTACACTATGGGAGGGTAACGCAGTAAGTTGGCCTCAGAAGCTAGCTATTCATTAATCACAGGTACTTATTGACTAAAGAAATATCAGGTTGATTCCTAATTGATGTACGTTACTTGCGCCAACGGTGGGTGAGAAACCGTAAGAAGCTCGTTATTAGAAATAGCATGCAAGCTTTGAAGGTGGCTTCTTTTGAAAAGTTAATCAGTGAAGTTGAAAGCAGAAATCCGAAAAATGTTTGAAAATCCCAAATCGAATATCCATCCAAAAAGTGTTGAGAGACTTCTTACTTGCTCACATTTACTTCGCACACCAGACATGTTTGTTTGCAGTTACTGAATTTTAGGACTATGTAGCAAATGCATGAAGTCAAAAATATGAAAATGTCTCTTGGTTAAGTGCTAAATTTGTTGTTTATCGGAAACTAGCTCTTGAAAAGTTGAAAACTGAGTTATACTTGAAAAGATCTGCCTATCGGTTCACACTAGAAATTTTCCACTCTGAACATATTAGGTTGTCCCAAAAGTAAACTCCATCTTCGAATAAACTGAGCTGTTTTGTCTTCTTAATAGATTTAGGGTAACATTCGATAGAGCGGAGCAAGCTCTACAAAAAAAACCATCAAGGGTTAACCTAAGTCGTAATCCAGGCAAAATTTGGAGGCAAAAGTCGAATTTTTTTAGCTACCCCAAAGATCGGATTTCCTTCAAGAAAATTCCTACGGGCTTCCAACTTCGTCTATTTATAGTGAACACATAGTAGTTCTCAAAAATGTTTTTGGTGGCTTTTTTCAAAGGCTCAAATTTGGGAAATAAAGATGGTCCGAAAATGACAAAATGATGCTTTTTTCGGGTTTTTCATGTGAGACTTGGTATTTCTCGATCATAAGAGCTCGTACAGGGGTAAAGTTGTGAGAATAATAATCAAGACTTGTAGTATACAATAACATATGTGGGGGGGGGAAGGGCTGGGGGCGGAGTTTGCAGTTTTTGGACTATCTTCGATTTCTTGCCTTCTATGCGCGGAAAAAATCCAGTAAAAGCATGTTTGAGTACTACTATGTGTGTGTACTACTACTGTATAATGACCAAGTTGGAGGTCCGTAGGCATCTTCCTCGCAAAAATTCAGTTTTTGGGTGACAAAGTTTTTTTTTCGATTTTGGCTTCAAACTTTGCATGGTATGCGGCTTAGGCGGGCCCTTGGTGGTCCTTTTGTAGAGCTTGTCTGCTCTATCGCATGATATCCTAAATATACTAGGAAAACAAAAACAACTTGAATTATTAAAAAAGGAGTTCACTTTTGGGACCTAATAGGAGCGGCTTAATCACAAGCTTTGAATAATTATAGATATTATGGTGTCCGCCGCAGAGCATTCCTTTTTCAATGACAGTATCGGTTGGAACACTGGACCTGAGAGTGCGAAGCTTGTAGTAAAGCATGATCAGTGCGAAACTTTGGTAGACTTTGAACTCTTCAAAAGCTGGTCGACACGGACATGGACGACCAAAACATAAACGACATTCGAAGGGAAGTTTGGAGGGAAGAAAAATACGACGATTCTCGCCAAAGCAAAGCAATGATGGTGGACATACTTTCACACGAAATATTGCAGAATGTTGCGAGGTTGCTAGTAACACCTCCTGCACTCCTCCACATTTCTGCATAGGGAGGAAAGTTTTAGCGACCTTGCCAACTAAAATTTTCTCAATGTCAAGTGAAAACGTCAAGAGCTGAAATCGAGACTTGCCTCAAAGTTGAAAAGAGGGTTTACTAACCACCCTGATGTTTTCCCGGATTTTCTAAATTGCGTACATCTCAAACTTTCACCGCATTTTGTATTACTGAGTCAATGACGATGTCTGAGGGTGTTCACGAATATCGAATATGTGTCATTTGCGAAACCACTTCTATCAGGAAAGAATAGTTGAACGACCAAGTAGCGGTAAAGCACGACAAGCACTAATTTATCTTAATAAAATGTTGATGTTGACTAATTCTGTTGTTTTTAATCTGACTGTGCTTCTTCGCATTCATGAAGAAAGTAATTTTCATTCTTTATACAGTTCTAGCGGCAGTGAGTTGTGTCATTCCTTAACGGTAGGAAAGGACTCTGCCGAGTGCGAACTTCCTCTCCCCTTCCCATTCTTTCATACTAGGGCCTGCCAATAGCATGATTTTGCAGGATAATGAGTACATCTACGGCTTCAAGTTCTATGTTGTCGACGTCGACCACAACAAGCACAGAAAAACCGAGGTCTCCCAAAGGAGGTTTCCAGGTGCATCTCCATTGCTTAACCGTGTCACAGCCTTTATTTGTCATTCCTTAAGGAGCTACAAACAGTTAAGAAGAAGGTTACAGCGCCAACAGTAAGAGTTTTCCTTTGGTTAACTTGCGCAGCAATTATTCAGCTGAAATTTCCAAAATTCTTCCAGAAAGGCCCAGAGAGTGACAATGTGAATATTGATGAGCTTATGAAAGCTCTGAAAGTGGTGAGAAAAGCTAAAGAACGCAATGTTAGTTGTTGCAAAATCTGCAGCGAGAACTGGTCCTCTTAACATATCAACCTCTGTTCACTGACCCAAAGAAAATGATGCATCATCGTGTCTTCATTTTCGTTGAAAAGGAAAATCTCCCAGCTTGAAGAAAGGGTTTTGAGCTCTGGGGACCAGTTCTCGCCGACCTCTAGTCTAAGTCATAAGCAGACTTTTCTGTGAAATTTTTGTTTTTAGATTGATCTCACAACGTCAATGGAATCGTTAGCAATGCGTAGCCTAAAAACTCGCCATAAACGTCGTCAACGACATAGAATATCGGCTTGGCAACGGATTCGCTCACAACTTTACGTGGTGCTATGGATATTCGCCATTGTCTACTTCATTGCTTTGCTAAATCGCAATACTGTTTGTCCGTACTTTATGGATGACACGAAAACTACCGAATTTTGATGCAGCGGCTTGACATATTGAATGATTGTGGATTTACAAGGTTTTGATAAAGAGTTTAATTTATGCTGGGTGTAACTTGATGTCTGTGCTGACGATAGTCTAGAGAGTAAATTTTTTGTTCTGCATAATTGGTGCTGAATTTAACCTTTGATTCAAATGGCTTGGCTGCTGGAAGGCGGGCTTTGTGATCTAATTAAGGCCGGCTCGCGCCCGCTACGCGGTCTGCGTCTCTCTCGTGCGCGTGCTTTCTGATCATTACCTAGCCTTAATCAGTTCACAAAGCCGCGCCTTCCAGCAGCCAAGCCAGTTGAATCAAAGGTTACATGTTCGGCCCTTTTATAAAAACAAACAAGCCCATTTTTCGGAATTTGGCACCTCGTGGTCCCGCTCAATCTTTTCAGAGATCATAATATTTTGGTTATTTTTACCTTTAGGAAAAACTGTAGTGGATCAGGGCTCGGCACAGCTGGCACCGTGTCAAGCTGGATATCGCTTTTAGGACAAAAACAAAGGGGATATCGTTTTTGTGGCAGAAAAAACACAAAAACTGCGACGTTTTTCTAGTGACCGCTTTGTTTTATTGAGGGTTTTTTTACGTTTTAGGGTCCAAGTGGATTTCATACAAAATTTTTAAGACGAAAGGGTACTTCATTTTGAAATTTCCCTGGTGCCAGTTCGTGCCGAGTCCTGAGCGGAGCTTACGGGGGAGGGAAAACAAAATCTATGAAATTGACATCCTGTTATAAGTTACTGAAGCAGTCAATCTCTTTGATTGCAAATAGAATTATTCCAAAACTTTTTGTGGGTAATCAAAATGCCTCAATTATTCTCGAGATAATAAATTACCTTCAAAAGACTTCATCTTCCTCCTGTCATTGTGATTTTAGAATTTGAAGCTTGTAAAAACCTGGTTCTTTCCCAAAATTTTGGAGGATGCGACGCAACGCCACACCCTTTCATCTAGAAAGTTTTTATTCTCCTCTCCGCCCCACTCCTTCCCTTTCTGATTCAAAATTTTTTGGATATCAGCGGAGATCCACAATTAATAAAATCTGGGCTAAAAATTGCACCATATTTCTCTTCAAACGCATTATCAAGGTAGAAATTCATCTTCAAAGAAGGTATTCAAAAATTCAGACAGTCGATTTTTTTATCGTTCAGGTTGGAATTACCCAGGTTTCTTGGGGGAATATGATCATCTCCCCCCCCCTTCCTCCCCTTCCATTCAGGCTTTCCGACAAATCCATTTTGAAGCATTCGTTATTCCACATATCTGACAGTTATCTGGACAAGTACATCATCTGCCTGGACGACCTTGATATATCCTTTATATGGAGATATCATATGACTAGATTTACCGCTGCTTAACCCTCTATTCCCAAACGTATTGAAATGCATGAAACCTTAGAAAGGAAGATTTGAGCCAGCTTCTAAGCTTTGGCTGCAACTTCTTCCTGAATCTTCAGAAAAACCTTCTAAACCCAGAACATCCATGACATAAATTGCTAGAATTCATGAGAAAACCTATGAAATTTATGACGTCATTTGGTCGTTTGAGTTTAGTTAAGATCTAGACTTTCCCTCATGATAAGACTTGTGTGAGAAACTGTTGAGCAAATTATTTTGAACTTTCACACTACTAATTTTTGAGCTTTTCTCTTCAAATTTTTTGGAAAAACTAGCTTGCGATACATAGCTTGTGCTCTTTCTTTCACCTGCAAATTGCATAAGCTCTAGACTTTGTTGGCTACTGAGAACCCCAATCTTTATGTTAGTTCTATGTTATAATGACTTTCGAAATTATCATGGTACATACCCTTTGCTTCAACCGGATCGGCGGCTGGAAGGCGGGGCTCCGTGACCCTAATTAAGGCTAGATTTTGATCAGAGAGCATGTTCACGAGGGAGGCGTAGAATGCGTCGCGGACGCGAGCAGTCACCTCCTGGGTCATGAAGCCCCGCCTTCCAGACGCCATGCCTGTTGAATTAAACGTTAGGTTCTCCTTTGTTTAGCAAAGCTTGAATTAGGAATCATATAGCTCTGAAATGTAGTTTACATCATATGTCTATTCTTGAGGCTGCGTCTAGAGTTGCCCGTGCCAGCGCCGTTCCAGGGCCGTCATTAACGCCGTTTCAAAACCTCGATCGATCAATAAGGGGCGCTTGCGCAGGTTTCGGCACGGCGCTGTCGTTTGGGCGCAACTCTGAACGTTGCCTATATTTACACGAATTCGTGAACAAACATTTTTTGGATGAAGAAAACAAAATTATTACGTAAATCTTTGTCCTGGAAAATCAAGATAACAGTGTAACAAACTTCTTCCAAATCTCCTTTTCAGACGTAATAAAATTAATTTGAAAATACACGGACTTTCCATTGATAGAGCTTTCCGCACAGATGCTTGCGTGCATCTCAGCCGCTAATAATGCAATTTCCCCTCACTTGTTTATGTCACTTAACATTCGCTGTGACATATTGCATTTCACACAATATACTTCTTGTTATTCGCATTCGAAGAAATATCTCCTATCTAATATCTGGACTTCTTGAATTTCCTCTCTCTCTAGAGTCTCAATTAACTTGCGCTAGCAAAAAATTCACTCATTCTGTTGCATGCTTATTACAAGCTGAATTCATTATTTCGCATTCGAAGGAAAAATATTTCCTGCAATTTCAGCTTGCGGAGTTTGCCGGATCTGTGCTAATAATTGGCGAGTTCGTTTCCCAAATGAACAAACATCAGTATGACTACATTCTCCCTAATTATTGAAATTCAGAACATTCATTGATTTTTTTTCGTTTCAATGGCGGTGCCTCGCGTAGAATGTGTAAAAAATGAATTTTCGTCTCCGTTTTCAGATCAATTATTCAAATTTCATTTGTATAGGTGCTGCTGTAAAGAAAAGCCATACCGCTCTATTCATCTTTGCTTCCGACAATCTCATTATGATGTGCATGAATTGCACATAGCACGCGACACAACTCATTCTCATATCCTCTACCTACTTTTAGCGCTTTAGGAATGCCACCACCCCTTGTCTAACCATTTATCGCTGATTTCATCGGAACTCAAAAGAGTCGACTTCTAGGAAATGTTCTGTTTGTTCTGCTCCTTTTGATCACTTATTCAGACAATTCACTGGAACTTCTACAGGACAAGCGAAATTTGCAGCGATTCCGCAGGATTTTGTTTATTATTGGAAGCGTTGAAAATGGGAACTTTCGCAGGATTTTCACGTCAAACTGGTTGAAAAGAAGAACTTCAGCAGGACTTTTTACAAAGCGCTGTGGAACTTCCGAAAAACGCCAGCGTATCCGCAGCACTTTGACATGGCGCCTTGAGAACTTCCGCAGCACGTCTACAGAGCTTTCGCAGGTGAGCCAGCGGAACTTTTCCGAACGTTCTGCGGAAGTTTCGGTCAGTTGTCTGACTAACGCTTAATGGAATGAATACGACTACGCTTAATGGAATGAATACGACTCTACAAGCTCTTGTAAAACTCTATTCAGCTTTTTTCTCCTTTTTTATGCCTACAAGTTCGTGTGATTAATATTGAAAATAATTTAATTTGAAATCAAATGTGATGCAAAAATTACTAATTTCAACTTTTCACTTGAAGTAAGTCTCAAAACATGCTCTTCCTAAGGGAATGAACAGAACGAAGTGAAAACGTAACACATGTAATTTTCTCTTTTATTATAAAGCTACATTTTGCGGTAGTCCAGAAATCTTACGAGTGTAGTGGGATTTCAGTCATACTCATTATATCAATTTCTGGTAGTTTTTTTTGCAATTGTGCTTTATCAAAAACCTCTAACCTATGACCGCATAAGAGACCAACTTTTGACGTAGCTTTCTCAATGAAAAATGAATCATAGGTTAAACGAGAACTTCACATTCGATGAAAAGAACAGAATTTGAATCAATACTTTACTTAATAAGTTCCCTTGAAGCTCAGTCATAAATGTGGTGATGCGAATGCAAGAAAAAACTCCAAGCGCATTTAGAACCTTTTTTAAATTTTTTCTAATGTGATTTCTCAACCCCACTAGAAGAATCCGCTTTCCTGAAAGGAGATTTCCAATGCCTTTCATACCGGAAATTTCCAATTTCTTTCTCCCAATCTCTGCATCTCATGTTACATTGCTCTGCAAGCTTTACGAGCCTCTATGGTTGGCTGGGATTTCTAATGATCTCTTCATGTCAACACACAGCAGAAATGAGCTTGTTCAGGTGCCTGCTGTAGTGTGGGACTGCTTTTTACGATTTCGTAGATATATAGTATTAGCGGAAATCATGAAAAGAGGAGAAATCTGAAAAATCACTGCTGAGATTGCCTCGCTAATGAATATACGTAAAGTGAGTAAGTCGTTCTGCAATTCACCTTTGTTTCCGGCTATGGCATGCATCCGTATGCGAATCGAGTACATCGGATGCACGCATTAGGACTTATTGATGAAAGTTTGAATGTAGTCCTTCAATGAAAAAGACATAGAAGCACGCGTGGGAAGACTTTTTGAGTTATAGAGGCAATTTTGAATCCTAGTATGCTAGAACAGACCTTTCTGCTCTAAATATTTTGTTTTTCATTATATCATCCCTTTCTTTCCGGGAAGCCCTGAAGTGTGGTAGACATTGTTTTGACAAGTACAAACTTGTTTCTGCTTCTCATTGCAAGTGTTGAAATACTCGAAATCATGTAAAGCACAAGTTTTTGACTTGTTAGGCATACATATCCTGCATTTTGGGAAGAGAATGAATCTTATATGAGCTCAAAATGAGAAATAATAATAAAATAAACAACAAATGAATGTAAAATATTAATAATAATAAATAACGATAAATATTTTAATTTCACGCGTATAAAGCACACTTTTTCGAATTATTAGGGTAATAATAAATAATAACAATTAATAACAAATAATAATAAATACTAGTAAATAACAATAAATAATAATAAATAGTTATAAATAATAGTAAATAATGATAAATAATAATAAATAATGATAAATAATAATGAATAATGATAAATGATAATA